ACATGGGGGTTTCCGAAAAGAGGGACCCTAATCTAGTACCCTAAATAGTAGGATCCTTATTATAAGGACCCCAAAATAAGGTACCCCCTATTTTCGGAAAGTCCCACATGTCTCAAGGCCCCGAATCTTAAGGTAGGGGCCTTAACAGTTAGAATGGGGTTTAGGGGTATATTCATTATACTGTAATCATAAATAATAAGGGACCACCACAAAAAAAAAAAAAAAACAGTATGGTACGCCCTGGCGACGTGCATTTTTTGTATATACAGTTTCAAATACTTTCAATTCGTCCAGGATTCCTCGAAATTACACGCCACCACGGTGTACCAGTCTCAAAACAAACTGGTATAGGTAATTACTAAGTCATCAAGGCCCCTATATTGACAGAGCATTCAAACAACTGAAGGCGCCTCACGAAACTGTCACCCTCCAAACCTAAACCCTAAACCCTCAATCCTTCGGTTAGCAGGGACGTTTTGTATTTTGTATTTGTTTTTTTGTAAGGTTTTGTATTTTGTATTTGTCTTTTCTAAGGTTTTGTATTTTGTGTTTTGTTTTTCAGGGCCGTCGATTTTTTCGGGTTGCAGGGCGATCGGCCGAGCCCGGAAAGCACATGGGGGTTTCCGAAAATAGGGGACCCTTTTGGGTCCTTTTTATAAGGGTGCCGTACTATATTGGGGACCCAAAAAGAGACCCTAATTTAGAGAACCACCCACATCGAGAGCCAAGGACAGAGAATTGAAGCTGCTGTCCACGCAGCAGGTGGGGTCAACAGCGGAGAACAGGTTCTGCACTAAATACTAGAGTGGCCTTAATAATTGCCAAGACTATTTGGGGGGAGGGGGGGGGGGTCCTGATTATAGATATAGTATAATATACCCCACTATTCTAATTATCAAGGCCCCTAATTACATCATCTGCATCCCAAAACCATACATACACGGTAGAATGATCTTTCGGATCGTATCAAATATCCACCAACTGTGTTCATGCCCCCCCCTCACTCCCAACACCGCGCGCTCTGAGCAGTCACAATACCAGCACGGCGCAATGTACTCAACACCATCTGTGGCAGCACATTGTCCATTTCACTCACACTCACACACACACACACTTACACTTTTGGCGATCATGACTATGAGTCTCGCTTTCCGGTGGCGACTTGTGACAGCTAAACTTCCGGCAGGCGGATGTGCTGGCGGTACTGCAAGACCCGAAGCTGCCCTTTGTAAAATGGCTTGCCGGGGCCTTGGTGGTCTTGTCTGCCAGAGAAGCCCACAGGCCTCAGCCCCTACACATACATCATGCGTAACTACGCGCATACTATAGGAGCCTAGATAAATACCACTACCATTCTGGGGGCTCCTTATTGTAACTATAGTATATTACCCCGAACCCTATTCTAAAAATTAAGGCTTCTGCATTCCAGGTGTGGGAACTGAAAGCATGGGTTCGGGTTTCGTAGTTTGTCCTAAAGAGAAACTTGGGGAGTTCAGGCCGGCTTCTGGGGTGGACCTTTAGGGTTTAGGGTTTAGGGTTTAGGGTTTAGGGTTTAGGGTTTAGGGTTTAGGGTGTGTTTGCCGATCCTTGGGCTTCAGTGCCGCAGAGTTTGCGGAGTTGGTTTAGGGTATATAGGGTCTCGATCGAGCCGGGTTGCTCAAGACGCCCATTCCCATACATAACCTACGGTCAGTATTGTAGAAAGGAGGCCCTGAATCAGAAGTGGCCCATTCGAGTTCGTAGACCCTGTCAAGCCTTCATGAAACCTATAAATCACACGGAACCTACAGCCCAAACTCCTATAACCCTAAAACTGGGTTCTTGTTAAGGGATTTAATTTAAGTTACCATAATAAGGAAACCATATTATTTACTATAGATCCCTATTATGGTAACTTAAATTAAATCCCTTAACAAGAACCCAGAAAAACAACACCCAGAGGCCGAAACACTAACTCATAATCCTAGAACCCTACGAGCAAAAAGGCCTAAAACCCCCAAATCCCGAAATACGCCTTGCGGATCACCCGAAACCCAGAATCCGAAAATCCTAGAGAACTTGAAGCCCTGCAAACCCCAAACTTCAATAATCAGGAGCCCCCAAATATATTATTTTGGGGGCTCCTGATTATAATTTGACTATAAAGGCCCCCAAAGCCCCATTCTAATTATTAAGGCCTCTACATCAGTCAACCCAGACTTGGGGGTCACGGGGTTGCAACCCTAAACCCTAAACCCTTGCACTCCAGGCTGCCAACATCCTTCTCGTCGTGCTTACCGGTGCCCTGGACCGCAGGGCGGCTGAGGATTGAGGCCGCTGGCGGTTTCGGGTCAAAGATTCAAGGGATTGGGGTTGAAGGTTTAGAGTTCAGCGTCTAGAGTATGAGGCTGAAGGGTTTAGGGTTGAAGTTTTGTGTGGTGTAGGATAGGCAATCCTTGTTGTCAGCTCAAGTCGATGTGAGCTAGAACCAATGGACCGGATATAACCTGTATAAGAATACCTGCGAAAAGGCATCACATGAACTCTGTAGATTTTGAGCCTCATGGTTCAGGAGTTTAGGATGTACAGCCTTGCTGTTTTGGGGCTTCCAGACAAGGATGATCTATCTGAAGAAGGAATCCTGTTCTCAAGCAATTCCTCGGAGCTAGTTGTTGGCAAACCCTACGGCTCTATGTGCCTAGATAGTATATACTTTCCTTATATAGATAGTTCAGGGCCAGTGTAAATACTACATGGCTAGGCTGGTTTTTGGGACATGTGTTATTTTCCTTTTCGGTTGTTTTAAAGGGACCCTTGATATAAATATTCCTCAGAGGGTTTAAAGGCCAACCCCCCAAAAACTCCGAGATCCCTTAATTAAGGAATATACCTTAAATCATATTAGGGGTCCTACTATAATTTTAAGGTATATTCCCTAATTAAGGGATATTGGAGTTTCTTTTGCGCTCTAAACCCTAAACCCTGAACCCTGAACCCTAAACCCTAAGTTTAGAGGCCAACCCAGATGGGTACATGGAGCCTTTGGGAATGTACACCCAGGCCAGACTGTGGACGGCTGGGCTGCGCGGCGGACGACCACGCTTCTCGCTTTTCGCAGTTTAGGGTTTAGGGTTCAGAGTTTAGGGTTTAAGGGTTTAGGGCACAAAGAGACTCCAACACCCCTTCTCTAAGTAGGGCATATACCTTAAAATTATAGTAGGATCCCTAATATGATTTAAGGTATATTCCTTAAGTAAGGGATGTTGGAGTCTCTGGGCATCTAACATCTGAGGCTCCACAGATGCCGCACCCTTGGAGCCTCAATGCAGACAATCACGAGACTGAGACCCGAGACTTTCAAGAAGCTGTAGAGGTCTGAATATCCCTAAACCCTAAACCCTATTTACCTAGCAGGTGTGGTAGTTCAGTAAGGCGAAGTTAAGTACTGAGTAGACTGGGTTTTTGTGCGGAATATTGTAGTATGTTACCATTTCCGGGACTATACATGATATTAAGGCTTCGGCTACCAGAGAACATGTGCGGTCCTTTTCGATGTGCGGGTATTTCAGGTTGCAGCCAGGGTCAAGGAGACCAAATCCTAGACCCTAAACCCTAAACCCCTACACCCTAAACCCCTGAACCCTAAACCCCCAAACCCAAACCCCCTAAACCATAAACCCCTAAACCCAAAGCCCCTAAACCCCAAACACTTAAACCCCTAAACCCTAAACCCGGACATCCATGACCCAGCAGGTCTAAACTTGAAGCTCTACATGCCGAAGCCCTGAGCTCCCAGACCCCTAAACACCCTACACGCGCATGTATGTATGTGTATGTAAATGTATGTCTGTGTATTTGTATGTGTATATATATGTATGTACATGTATATGTATATATATATATATATATATGTGAACATGTTGTGTTATGGAATGCTGCTTTATGCTATGCTATGCTATGCTATGTTATTTTATTGTATGTACATATAGAGCCCTACACCCCCAAACCCTGAGCCCCCAAACCCTAAAACCCCATAAACCCACCACCTCTAACCCCATCACCTCGCAAAACGGGTCTCACCATTCACCGGCATAGGTAGAGCAGAATGTACCCCCAAACTCTGAGGCTTTCAGAGCTTAGCAAAGCGGATGCATCCACTCCGCCGGGGGCCGAGGGGTCACAGAGATTGTGGGTTTCGGGTTTAGGGTTCAAATTTTGACGGTTTAGGGTGCTGGATTTAAGTTTTGAGGTTTAGGGTTTAAGGTTTAGGCCTGGGGCTTAAAGTTTCGTGTTTAGGGTGAATTAGGGTGTAGGGCTTCTGGATTAAAGTCGTCTACTACTACTACTACTACTACTACTACCACGCAC